TAAATACGTAAAGCAAGTCCGACCTCTCCTCGACCCCCCTTTTACAAACTTCAAGCCGTATACACCCTACAAGAGAAGAATGTCATATCTGTATAATCATTAATATGTGGTCCCCCTCCCCTCTTGTAGGGTGTATACGGCTTGAAGTTTGTAAAAGGGGGTCGAGGAGACGTCGGACTTGCCTTACGTATTTACTATAGTTATATTCGTTACACCTCTTATCAATTAATAGTGCTATTACTATATGCATTTATATGTATAGAATATATATGTTCAGTTTCTTCTGATTCTCCTCGTGTAGACTTGTAGCTTGCGAACGGATAGAAGTGAAGCGGCACTCTTACGTGTAGGTGGATAGAAGAGGTCTTTTAGACTGGACCATTTGTCGATTGCTATTACATCTGCAATAATTGTTTTGCGATCTTCGTTTATTATTATTAGAGTCATGTATATTGATTAATGTATAATATTGGAATACCTTGTAGATATTCAAAGGAAGCAAACGAAACATTAAGTTTTCTTGGTATTCTGCATCATCTACCGGCATGCTTAGGTGTTGGTTCGTGTCACACGACCCACTTGACATGCTTTCCTATATCTCTAGTGGTATACAGTGGCTATGGATTTAGTAGCTTGGTGTTCCTCTAAAAGCGTGACTCCTCTGTGTTGTATAATTCCTACTAGCGGAAAAGCTATATCTTCACTGAAAAGCGGGATGAGGTGAACTGTAATCGTTTACGGCCGTTCGCGAGATTCGCAGCGTAAACGTGAAACGTAAGCCTGCTTGTTTGTGCATTCTCTTTTCTTCCCCTTTATCTTTCTCTCGTAAGCAAAAACAAGGAACAAAGGCTGTGGGCGGGAGAGGGGCGGTGGCGCTTGTTGATATAGGATATCTCATTTAGAATAGGCCTCATATAGAATATCCTTCCCTATATATACATATATATATATGTATATATGTATCTATCTATGCGATGAGAGTTTGATTGGAGGCTGCAGGCGGTAGGTTTAGTGACGTTGGGGGGGCGTCATGCGCAGACGGTGAAGGGGTGCGCGACCATTTCTCGCACCCAAACCCCTCATCGTAGTTGCCCTTAACCTTGAACAGCTGTTGGTAGTGCGCCTCGCAGTAAAGTTTGCCGCCCTTCTGACTATACCCGTCCAGTCTGCGATATGTGGGCCAACGATTGCCGCGAGAAGCATGTAAAAAAAATGAAAACAAAATTCGAAACATTGTAAGTGTCGGAGTCGTCTACAAAGGAGAGGGACATGCAGAAGGAGCAATCTGAGAGTAAACCTACTGCATTAGCAAAATAAGAATGTTGAATTACGAAAAAAAAGTGCATGTTCATACAGTTTGTGCACCTAGCTTAACCCAACGAGGTACCGAAAGGCAATCGCACATGGCCCGGTAAAACAGTATCAATGTTACTTTTTGATTGTATATATCAACTCGTGACTTCGTAAACATGTAAAAGTGGGTAATGAACATACCTGAGGTTGATGTTGCATCGAGTACATTTGAAGCACTTAGTGTGCATAACGAGTCCGCTAGCTTCGCGACGTTCCATAGGGAACACTTTACCCTGGCACATAGAACACACTTCGGTTTCCGGTGTGCCGAACTGCCCGTGTCAATGCGGTGGGTGACCGTCACATGTTGATGTGTTCGCATACGTATTCAGTCGGATTCAGTTGGTTTCAAGGTTCGAACGACAAATCGACGTGTAGAGTTCACAGCATTCGATGAACGGTAGGCAAAGACACACGCCAGGTGAAGACGCACATCACGATGTCAGCGTGCACAAAATGAAGTAGAAGAGGTAGCCGAAAGCTGTTAGTAAGCGCTGTCGCAAATATAAGTTATGAAAACAGGGTCTCATTCCAACCCAACACCGGCAATGTTTTTGAAATTTATGGTTTCAAGAAATCTGAACAGGGTTGATCTCGATCAAATGCCAAAATTCCTGGTTCTTAGATCCAATATGTACTCGTACTTTCAGCATAGGATGGTTAGATACAGTGAGAAAAGCCATCTCTAATAAAAGTTAAGTCATCGTAAAGTATGGCCCACCACCATGGTAGCGTTAACTGGAAGACATTCACTACTACATACACCTCAGGTAGGATACGGTTTTCTAATAGCAAGCCGAAGCCAAGCATGTAAAAAGATGATAATTGGAACCAAATAGCTAATTCATAGATAAGACGGCCATGAAGGTTGTTTTTAATACTGCACATTTTTTTCGAGGATTTATGGCCTCACAGTTGTAGCACGTATATGGTACATTCGTTAGGAATGCATGATTGAAGTATAAGTAGGCTCTCTATAATTTATATTAATGAAAAAATGCTTATTATAAAAAACTTATCGCACACTAGCGACCATTTTGGTAGAACCTATCCATGACCCACTTGTTCGATTGATGCGGTACCTTACTTGTTATCTTCATTCGATTGATGTGGTACCTCACTTGTTATCTTCGTATCTTGACTTACAGCTGCGATTAATAAACGTGCCATTTGCGTTCGAGCAATGCCCCATTAAGCATCTCTTCATAGTCAAAATAAATAGGAACACCCTTGGGAACATGCAAAATTACTCTCATAGATTTATTTATAAAAACACATCGTTTTATTAATGTATGACGAAGCTCATATCATATTTAATAATCTGTTATATAAATAAAACGTGAGTCAAAGTTTAAACAATATAAGCTTTTTTGCGTTTCATTTGTTACGTCTTAAAATATTTGGAAAAATTTGCAGGCGCAATATATATATATACTTATAGGGAAAGCAAACAAATTGCTCGTAGATGGTAGACGACAAATTGCTCGTAGACGACAAAATATATTGTCTGTATATATTTTGTTTGTGAAATTATCATATTTCTCAGTTTCCATTCTCCTTTCTTCTCAACTACTATTTGCAAGCGGATGTACGCCGAATAATCTCGAAAATCTTGGCACTCGATGCGGCTATAATCCCGTCCTGCATCGCCACCCAAAACGCCCAAGAATTTTTCCAGTTAAAGGGTCAGGTCACTGAAAAGAACTTCACATTAGTATTTCCGATAAAGATGATATATATATATATATATATATATATATAAACGAGCTTATTAAGTAGGACAGCAAGACGACAAAACAAGCAAGTCAATTATCCGAAGTCCTACTGCTTACCACTTTTCATTTGATGGAACCGTTTATTTTATAGTTCCTGCTATTTTCAACATCCGCTACGATACGTATAGGACTGAATAGCTTTTACACAGGCTGATATAATAAACTGGGGTTGCCGAGTGACGGAGAGTGCGCAAGAGACACGGGGCACTCAAAAGCAATTTGTGTGGCAGACAAAGATTTGCCATTTGTCCTAATGGATATTTATCCCTGGTAAGCTAAACTGACTCCAATTGATAGGCTAAAACGGGTGAACGAATTCCGTTATGTCCAAGTTTTCGTGGACAACGTCAACCACTCTGCGTTGCTTGTGTACACTGAAGACCCGCCAATGTATTTCCGATGGTTATATTTTCGCAATTGATTGTGTATCGATTAGGCTACTTAGGTTTTTTTTATGACGAAAATCGGACCTTAGCTATTTATGCAAGTTATGATAGGCATGCTTGTTCAAGTCGCAAAATGAACGAGGGGTTTGAATTTTTTTGTGTTAGTTGAAATCAATATTAGGCACATATTAAAGCAGCTTTGTGTTGGCATATAGCTAGCCACCTTCTCTCGTAAAGAAATGATTAGTATTATTAGTTCATCAACTCACCTTGCAATTGCGAACAGTTTTAGTTGCGTCCAAAACTAATTAATAAAGAGGTCCACACTCCTGAGCAGCCAGTAGATGTGGTATCGCTTGCTTAGGTAGCATTCGCGATCACTTTGATTAATGGTAGAAAAAGAAAGAATATTATATAACTCAGCAAAAGACCACACCAAAAAACTACCATAAGGCATTTTCAGCAAGCTATTATCTACAGTTCCGGCATATTGCAGCCAAAAATTCTTGAAGCCGATACAATATTTCAGCGCGCACCAATTAAATCACAACGGTAAGTGCCTATTCGAGCATTCGACCAACGTGTGCTAGTATGTCAAGACTTAATAAACGCCATCAATTAGTTAGTTGTTCGAACATTACTTCTGTGTATAATAAACTGGGCCGTAAGTCACCTTCAGATCATCGTCTGGTTAAGTTGACTAACTGAAAACAATGTTATAATGCATCTACAACTTAATCGTCAAGCAAGCAGGCTTATTGACCACAACCTATTATGGATTTTGCCACTACTTGCTATTATGGGGGTACTTCTTAGTTCATCAATACTATATTTAATACTATAATTATTATTACAATATTACTACTTAGAATAACCACCGCATAGCTCGTATAGCCCTCCAATTAATTTCATGTTAGGTTACATTCTCCATACCTAAGGCGGCGCGTGTTATTCTTGCAGGAATTTTTTGTGTGCCTTCTTTAAATAAAAGCAAACTTAATTTCAAGCCTCTTCACCAGTTTTACGAGTCAGAATAAATCACGACTACCTTTGGGCCCAGTTACGCACTTACCACGAAACGGCTGACTTTCGGTGGGTTGACTCTTTCGGTGCTTGCAGGTGACGAGAGTTGTCCTGAACCATTATTCTTGTCGGCGACATTATTTCTTTCAAAGACGGCTCTCATGTTGCGCGTGATATTGTCCGCGGGCATGCAGTCCTCTTCGATTACATGTGCTGACGAAGTTGCTGTCACCTTCACCGACGGAAATTTAGCAAAAAAGAACAAACGGCTCGTATTGAGAAAGGAACAATATGAACAGAGATTCGGACAGATGCATATAATAGATTAGAATTTCATTTAGAGGATGACCTTTCAATTGTGTCGAGAACAATAATTTTCACTACTGTTACATTTCGATTGTAATAACAATATGCTTCGAATTTAAGCTTGTGAAAAATTGTGTACATAAAAAAGTTCCAGCGACATCTTAATGTTCGTGAAGTTTAACAGTTTGCACACTTTAATGATAAACAGACGTACCTGAGGTGGAGACGCGTCTAAAGACGGCTTTTTAAGCGGGCGTGGCTTAGGGACCTGGCAGGTTTTGACGGGTGGTTCTTGAAGACCCCCCGTTTGACACTGAAATACCATGCAAGATACACGAAACAGTTACGCCATTTCATAGGGTTAACCCTTACAGACACAACTGCTACTTGCATAAGCTCCTTTCTGGGGTATAACCTCACTTACCATGTCAGCAATGTGTAATTTACGCTACGTGATATCATATTATACCTCCAAACAGTGAGCACCAGTTAAGTGGCAGAAGCACAGTAATGAATACGAACCTACCTACTGCATATTGCCAGGGCTTATTTCTACAAAAATGTAATGCACCCTAAATGGCACTCGAGGTAGATATACTATACCAAACCTATAACTAACAACAACTACAATCATAACGGGTCATGAAAAGTTAGTGCATCCTTACAGCCTGTTTAAGGCTTATCTCTCATGCATCTACGGGCGGGATGTCACAATGTACAATCCAAAGCACTTCCATCGCTTTCGTTAAAGATATGTCGTCGGTAGTCCCGTCAATTCGAAGGCGGATGAAGCGGTCGAACAAACTGCAAGACATGCCTACAAGTGTAAAGGGCATCGCCACCACGGCCAATTTGACGGCTGTGAAAGGCGCGAAGGCCTGTGTACTAGCGAACACGGAGTCCCAACAACCAAGAAAAAGTTCCAGGTCGAGCAAGTAGAGCACGTAGCGCAGAGAGAATAACTATTATATTATTTTATAAATGTAATTGTTGTGGATGATGGTTATATTTTGGGACTTAAGCCACTCCACCACTACCGACTTCGAAATATTTTCATATTTGCATATTATATGATACACAGTCTTGGCTCGAATTCCGAAAGAGTCCCAATGCTCTTCGTCATAATGAGTCTGGTGTCTTATTCTAAAAAAAAACTAGCTGCTTTCACCGAAAATCGCGAGTCAACGTATGCCTGCTACAACAGGTAGTCAGGCGGAAATTCGCCCGAATTTGAATGTCCCATCCTGTATATGGTCATTCAGTACAGAGCTTTAACATCTCCTTTGCAGAACTTGCCGGCACGTTTTATCTTCGAAATGCTTCCAGAGAGAAAAAGAGGAGGAGGAGGAGGAGGAAAAGGAGGAGCGCGAGGGAGAGAAATTTTTCGAATCTGATACCGCTCACTAGAATATTTTCATTCGGGCTTCTAGCAATCCAGTTGCAATGAGCTACGAAAAACCAAAAATTCTATTCGAGTTTTATGTCGACGCTACAGAGGTCAATACGGCTCGCTAAATTTTAGACAGGAAATTTCTCGCTTGAAAATGGGTTTCGTAGAAGACCTCCGCAAAGGTGAGAGCAAAGAACAAAACGTTTGTTCCTCTTTATTCTCACATATTACAGCAACGCCCTCTTGTCGCATAGAATTGTAGTTTGTAATGTAAAATGGCTCTTACGATAATCGCACAGAGCTTTAGCTGCTGGTGGATGTAATTGCACAAACAAGGCATTAGTTTAATGCGAACGTAAGGTATACACTATGGACAATTACGAACGGATTCCGCATGAAACAGCCCATACCCGCCCCACATAGCGCTTTTCACTTTCATATTGTAAAAATCAATACGAATGCTTTGTGTCATCCACCATATTCACCAGATTTTTCCTAAGACACAACTTCTTAATACAAAAATCGTTGAAATTTCAACATGTCAAAGTAACTTATGCGGAGTTAGTTATATAGGCTCTCGTAACTTAGATTCCTACAGCAGCTAAATAAACTCGTTCCAATTTTAACTTTTTATTTTTTAAATTTAAATTTCCTACTAAATGAATTTGTTCATAGACGAACCGTTTGCATATGAAGATGATAATAAGACCGAGAAAGTACTTACGAGGGTTTCGAACTTTTGTCTCATTTTTGTAGCAGTGTCCACGTTTGGGATGTCGGTGGTGGTGATAGACCCGACCACAACGTTGGGGTCTCGCTCGCATACGGGCGGAGGTGAGGCATCTCGATTACGAGGCTCTAACTCACGAGGCGGTGTCATCTGGAATTTCTTTTTTACGCTTGCCGCTTCTTCTTTGAAATTCTCGAAGAACTATAGATCAATAAAATAAGAGAAAAGATTGTTGTGACAAACAAAACAAAGAACATACGATATAAATTGTGAAGTTACCCGTGGTACTATATTAGCGCCGCTGTGGTACTATTCTACTATTTAGACATCTAAAGTTTACTAACAAATAACTACTGCTAACGAATAATGGGTAACACTGACTTGCATTATTCTAATCGTACAGTATTCAATTGGCTCACGCATTCTATTTTTCGAGCTTAACGTATGAAACAGTCTTTTTTATCACCAGGCCTGACGATCCCTCAGAAATTCCTTCGTTCTCTGGTTTGCTTGTCAGGACGACGACAGGTCAACTTAGAAACTCAACTGTAGCATTCGTGGTATAAATGAGGCGGGGTTTAAACTAGGCCACAGTTGGATTTTGAAAACTGTTGTGCATCTTGGACATTATTGCCGAGAAGTGACTACAAGATTCATTTCTGTAGTGATTGCAATGTTTTGAGAAGACCTCAGTTGAAAATACTTCAACTAATAACAGAAAGATCTTATTCAGATGAAAAAATATTCCTTCTTCGAAGTCAACACACAAAAACATGCGCCAGCTGCGCTCATCCCAATTTTTGCACTTGGCAGCGTTCTATAACAAATTTTGTGGGAAGCACCATGGCCAGTCATGCGCGGTCAAAGCAGCTTTTAGAGAGCTGATGTTTCTAATGCAATACAGTTCATGATAAATACTGGTAAAACTTACCCTGTAGCGTTCAGAAAGGGCTGCGGTCTCGACCTCTACCTGCTCCTTGTATCCTGGCTCGCTTCCGTGTACTACCTCGATGTCCTTGGGGGCCTCACCGAAGCTGGCACGTGACCAGCGACTGTCTGAGGGCGTTCGGACAAGGCTAGTGGTAGGCGGAGCTGTGGGCCGTGCAGCAATTTCTTTGTCGATCTTCTGGAACAGGAGCTTCGCCTGCTGCGCGATGACGGGGTCCTGGCACACGGATAAATCTTCCTCCTTCTCCGATTTAACTGCTTCCAGACGTTCCGCTTCTTCTTCCTTAGCCACCTGAGGGAAAACGAGCCAAAACAAATAATGAATCAAGAGATCGAGCCAAATCATGCGCCGAAGTTAGTGATCATTATTACTATTATCGTCGTAATAACAATAGGATGACAAAACTTAATGGTTTATAGACTTCAGCCGATTTCGCTGGTCAGAATAATATGTAACAAACGCCAAGGAGCTTCACACATTTTAAGAAGGCAACAAAATACGATACCTATGAGTAACAGTTTATGACATACCAGATAATCGACTATAGAGCTAACATGGTAGTAGCATAAAAAGCAATTTGTGAAAACGAAGCTTGTTTTGAAAGTGAGAATAAAGGATGAGCACAGGTCCGTAAGGCAGCCAATTGACGGTGTCGTTAATCAATGTAGCAACCGGGTTATCGAGAGACTGGCATGGACGCACAGAACCTTGCTAAATGTCATTTTATTTACGTACGTAGTGGGCAGTAATCGAACTCCCTAATAACAGGTAAGTAAGTCCATTGTTTCAGGCTGTTTATTTCATAATTAAAATAGGTAGGGCTTGACCCGAAAGGAAAAGTAGACGCGCAGGATCTTCAGAGAAGATCCTACAGGTTTGCTTAAAAAAATAGAATAAGTGGAACAAGGACCATGCAGAAATGAGTGATCAAGATTCTGCCCATCGAACGATATTTGATCAACCGAGAAGGCTTAAATGCTGCGTTTAACCAGTCATGCATGGATGAGGTCCTAAAGATTAGATGCAAAGGTCGACGTTTCGTTTATTTACAAGCCGATTAATAAGATGCAGAAAAAAAATACACTGTTGGAAGATAAAGAAATGTTGCTCGTAAGAATGAAGAATGAAGTCCAAAGAAATAATGTAGCACCGATTAATATTCTACAATGAGCACTACACAGCCTAGTCTACCTAAACAAGACCTTATTCAGGCTCACAAGCATTAACTAACTTTGGATTTTAATACGGTGACATCCATCACCCCGATGGATTACTTAAATCATAATCTATTTGGTGTCCAAGAAGTGATATTCTGAAGTTAGTTACACCGTTAATATGAAAGGAAAGCTCCGGTGTAGAAGGGCTAAAGTTAAGCCATGTACTAATTGGTTTCTAGCCGTTAAGCGTACAGTGACATACGTAGGGAGCACTTGTAACACGAATCATGCATTTTTATGATATTATAAGCACGAATTATACTTCTTGATCCAGGTGCTTCATCTCCAAATGAGGTTTCGTACAAGCACATGCTACTACGGAAAATAAAGTTTAGGCTACTTTAAGACCTCAATTCAGTTCGACTTTTTTCATTTAAAATCGTCTAACAGCATCGAGTTATCAGTGGAGGATAGGAAGAAAATGGCAGCCTGGAGTAGTTCTTTCGAACCTGAAGGGTACTCAGGTATGTTGATCGAAACGCTGAGTGAACTAAAAAAGTTCTTAGGAAAAGCAGTTAGCGAATCGGATTCTACAAGCAAGTTTGCTCAAGCAATCGATTAGAACAGACGAAGGCCAGTGGGATGCGTAAAAGTCTAGGGAGACGCGTACCTCTCCCGATTCGAACTTCTTCTTCAACGAATTAGCCAACGCGTGTCCCACCGATACGTCCTCCGGTGGCGACGTCTTGTTTTCCTTAGTGTGCGATTCCTTTATGGCTTTCTCGTAGGCCACCTTTGTCTTTGAGAGCCCAGGACATATTTTCTCGTGCAGTGACTCCGCATCGGCCTGAAACACGGTATAAGCATCTCTCTGACCTTCGTATCGAGACAGCAGCTAGACCATAATGAAGCTGATGGAGAACGCCGAGATTCTCTCAGGACGAATTCACCCATCAAGAGTAAAACGTAGTGTAAGAAACGTTCCACTGCCTAATTAGAAAAACTATGTCAAGTTATTTATAGCAATGAAAAATAGTTCATTGACGACCCAAAAGAGCGTTTTCCCGTACATAACACATGCGCATATATGAAACACTGCACCGTTCTCTTGACTGCCGATGTTGAATATGTATATTGCTAAGTAAGCAGCACACGATGTGAGAAACACCACAGTAAAGCGTCCCTATCTTGTCATACAATGGACAATAATAACACACAAACATGACGTTCATACAGTAGAGTCATAAAGCAGAGTAACGATACGAGATACAGAATAGAAGATACCAGTATTTAATGGTATATACGAATCACGTACCTAATATATATATATATATATATCTTGTTTTTTTTAAATGTACCGTTGCGAAGCCATTATCGTTATTGACTCGGCCGCTTTCCCACTGAGCCTTGAGTTCACCGATCTCACGGCAAGGCTCAATTTTCTTAGATGAATCCGCCTGGTCGTCGCCACCCTCCTCATCGGACGACTCCGCTTTCGCCTCACCGGCCACAACGGATTGGTACCTGTTCAAACCGGCCCGAATAAATAAAGAACAACAAATAATAGTTCCATATGAAAGGGCATTATTTCCTATGCTAACGAAATTGTGATCCAATGGAGAGGTGTGATAGCCGGGACTTAACTGTCTTAATCGTTCAATGAAACGGGAAGCGAAATTTCACATACGAGTGCCTGTGCGTGCCTTACGATGTGCTACCCAGTATGGCCATGTTCTCAGGCCTGCGAATTTATTTTTGACTTTGTAATATTGGCATCTTCAACACAATGCACAGTTGCTGCAACTACGAAAAACCGCTTGCCCAAGTTCAGATCTGCGCGATTGGGTAAGTACTTATATTAGAACGCTTACCGAAAGAGATAAGGTGCGAATACCGGCCTCTACCGCTACATATCAGTACACAAGCTCATTTATTCCGTAATTGATTTTCACTTACTCGCAAAACACAGTTGTTAACAGGGCTTACAATCCACTCTTGCAAAACCCTACATAATTAGAAGGTACGAACGCAGGGATTAGAAGGGATCAAAGGGTGAACAGATATGTTACAGCTAGGTCGTTCTTGTTCCTGCTTCGCCTTATCACATGCAGCCGCCCGATGCTCGTTCGAGTGGAAGTTTGTTTTTTCAGATCATTCAGTTTAGCCTGCCTCATTTCCCGGAGTTCGCTTTACTATGATTGAAAAAGAAGGTTAAGTGAACCTGACTGTTGACCTGAAACGGTTGATCAATAAATAGGAATAGACTCACGATCGGAAGCAACCAACTCCCCGTCGTGTAATGTATTTTGTAGGTGCTCAACTTACTTGACAAACAGGTAATTAAAAGTATGTATTCACTACCGAAAAACGCGTACAAAAATGCCCTGACATTAAATGCCCTTGTGGGGAGTGGGTATGTCGAACAAATCTGACGTAAATTACGAGTTTGAACAAAACTGACGAGAAATTTTGCTTGTCATTACAAGGCAAATCAAAGGCTTAGACATCTCGACCTTCCTATTTGCTTAAATCCTAGAAAAGGCCGCAAGCCAACGCAGGCCGATTCGTAAGTGAACAATTGGCGCAAAAAGCAATCTTGAATGCTTATTTTAGCATCCCAATTTTCTATGAAGGTCAAACAAACCTTGTTACACTTCTACTACTATACACTAACAGCACGAAACAAGGTCACTTCAAGCTGAAGCTTTTTGGCACATTATATAGTATACGCATATTATGTCTGTTATTTCGCCTGAATAAGTTGTCATTTTAGTAATCCGTTTCGTTTTCGTTTTACAATGTCCGAGTTTCGTTTGGTCTTCACGGTCTGTGAGCCAATTTTGTTTCCTACACTTCCAGATAGAGTAACACTTAATAACTTAGTATGCCAGATAACATGGAGCGCGATACAATAAGCAAGTTCCGCTACAGGTAGGCTAGTGACTAAAAGATTTGATAAATCATGACCAACAAAGTAAACGATAATGGATACCTTTCCAGTCGCTTGCGGAGAACATCGGACCGGGAGGATGCGCTTCTGTCAACGGCCGGCTGTCCCTTCGCATTGATATCGGCCTTGTCCTTTTTCTCAAATTGAGATTTAATTGAAGCCAAATTAAGGTTCAGACCCTCCAGATCTTCCATGGTGCTTCCGGTGCCGCCTGAAAGTAAAATAAGTGCACCATAAGCGACGTCAACAGCACTTCTTGCAGCACATCATACAAACGGAGGGTGTTTTCTTGTTTCTGAGATAATTCATGGTTTATTAGAGTAGAATAATGTTCTTAGTTAGTGTAAATTAATATTTTGATCAATGTCGAATAAAAGAATAGTTAAACGAAATTTGATGTTGCGCTTAACCAGAAAATTATAACTGAAAAGGAAGTCTCTATCGCCATATCACAATTCAGGGACAGCATTCGTTCAAGAAATAACTACAATAAGTCAGGGTCTAGATGCTGGCTGAATACTGATTCAGAACATACCCAGATCAAGAATAATGGGTTTTCTAAACTGATGTCAGGCGCCCGAACAACACATCGATTTTAACGTCGCTCTAAGGTATCGATACTGACTTCGGCGCTTACTAAATTGGAAACCGTAGTCCCTAGTGAGAAAGATTGTTTTCAAGAACACGATGTTTACTGCGTTTGTCGGGTTTTGTACAACAAAATCCAAGCACGTGTCCATGCCCGTATACATGCATAAAACTGAAAATATTTCCCCAAAAAGAAACCGTTAGAACTACGAAATAATTTTCTCAGATTAATCAAAACATGTTTAAGTCAGTCTTGCCCACTTGCTGCTTCTATCTCTCATTTCCGCAGGGATCGCAGCAGTAAACTTCTATTTTCTACCGTTTGTAGTCTAATCATTGTGGGTTGCTATCTGTGTTTCTCATATGCTTCGAAATCTGCCTAGCAACGCTCGCTTGGTGACCGCGACAGAACTACAATGTGGCCGTCTGTGTGTGTGTAAGTTGTTGCCATAAGCAATATTCTCAACAAGAATAAGTGATTCAACTCTATAGAACATTTTGAAGCACAACCCGATCCGTCAGAACCGTTCATGCCTCCAGGGACGCAGTTTAAACAAAAAAAAAAAGAGTCATCGCAAGCAGCAACAAGCGACGCTGTTAGCTACTTCTTGCTGAAGTTATTATGTGGTCGACTCGGAAAAACATATGTCCTAGTTGTGCTTAACAAGCTGGCTCAGCAAAATTTAGGAATCGCGTATGAAATCAACTGGGAATTTTCTAAAGCTCATTGAGTGATAAAGTGAATCAGAATGAGTCAGTCTTTGCAGCCCCATTTTTTCGGTATATTTGCTATATTGCCAAGTCTCTAGTTGAAGAAGGCCAGAGGTTACTGGCTTGAATTTCATTAATGGCACATACTACACGATCTATGTAGGCACAGGTCAAGTTTGACTGCTTGTGGACTGATGTGCTACATAAAACATTAGCGAGTATTAACCCAGGAAGTGATTGAGTTCTGGGTATGTTGAATTTCATTTTTGATGATGAGTCGTTGTTTCTGGTTTATTACCATAAAGGTGGTATAGGGAGAGGGATGTAAGCTAGTTCTTACATAGGTAACCAGGACCGCTAATATGATCGGCAGTGTGGGCGCCACTTTCTATGAAATGCCCCATCGTAAGTTTTAAAATAGTATTTCGTCATATAGAGTACGTTTGAAATAATTTCCTCGATTTCCATTTGAATTGAAGTAAATCCTGTACCAGGTCATTGAATAGCCTGGACCACTAAACCACCTAGCAATCTACACTTGAATAAGTCCTAAAAATGCAGTCCCGAAAAGTTCCGAACAAAATACGAAATGCGAACGAACACACGACACGTGATACACAAGCTTGTGGTACTAAACCAAGACAGGGTCGCTTCTCGACGGTCAGCGTAACGTTCCGCTATTGAACTTTACTGTTGCGTCTATCAGCTGTTTCGCAAGTGCTCTTCGAAATGTTAAACGACAACGTGCAAGCCTTGTACGAGAAATGCCTGCGCCACGTTCTTTTAATAACAGTGAACACAAGAGGCACGGAGTGGCAAAACAAATCTCGTTTTTTGTCCGCTAAGGCAGCAAAAGCAGCCGCCATTTGAGAGTACAGCAGTTGACAACCAAAGAAGACAACGCAGAGAACGTCTTCGATGCATCGTCTCAATTTCGACTGCCGGCAATGTTCGGACTAGAACGTATTTTACTATAAGTACAATTTGTACATAGAGATAGTCCATTCATATATTGAAATAGGGATAAAAGTCTGCACATTTTCTTCCGTATACAGTGCCTTAATTCTTATTTCATTCACTCGTGCAAATAACTGTTAGAAATGGCATACTAACCATGTTGCTTTTTAAACAGCTCTTCGGTCGACTAACTAGTTTATGTAATAGGATAAACGATGACAGTGACAAGAGAAGACTGACGTAAGAAGTATGACATGAGCTAGGATCGACAAAAGCAAATAGTCGGATCGGTCTTCTAAAAAGATCGGGCTGGAACAAAGAAAATCCAACGAGGTTTGCCCGCCCTATAGGGTGACGGCACACAAAACTAGCTAGACTATTAACGATACAAAACTGTTATAGAATTATTATTGAACAAGTCAATCTTTCATCCGGACCGTGCCTTCGTCCATCGTCCAAGGCCCAGTGCCCTAGGGACTGGCGACAATAGTACTATAATAAACTGCAAACGTTTTTTCTTGTATTTGAGTCGACATGTGGGACCAAGTTTTCCACTAACGCTATCCTCAATCGAAGATTGAAAAATCTGGTCAGAACGATGCCGGGATGTAATAGCATTAGAAAAGGCTAGAAGAAATGAAGATCCACGCATCGCATTACGCACGACGGTATGCAAATTTGTAGTGGTCCTAAGCCCTAAGAAAAGAATTAGTGCTTTTACTGGGTTTCCCTTAGCAGCCAAAGGAGACAATCTGAGGACAATTTCACATCCCTGTTCCATTTTCTCAAATAGTTCCATGGTTGTCCTGTTGGACAGTTGTCTTACTTTGCCTCAGTTTATCAGCGGTCTGGTACAGAGATGAGTGCAGATCATGCTGGTTGTGTCCCGTTAGTGCATAAGGCCATTTTCTAACCGTTTTTTGTAATGATTCGGGAAACATGAAATTGTTTTAATTTGATGGCAGTCACAAAGACAAGCCGAGTATGTATGTGCATACCCAGCTTCCTTAGAACGAATCATACTTGTGCACAATTCGTAACTAGTAGTAGTTACCTAGTTCTTAGTAAATGCTTTTTTTGGATGGTACCTGTTTGATTTACCGATAATTTACGCGCCCCTTAATAACAAGCATTCGAAATTCTGCCAGCACATTACTCCGCCATTGTAGGCCGTTTTGGGAATTTCTTTGCACCCCTTGGAGAGTAGTGATATTTTTTTCATTTTTCTATCGTCGAAATCTTGACAATAGTTTTTTCCATACAGGATTATCATTGTTTTTTTACAAGCGAGAGTCGCGGTGCAGATAATTTTCGCTGCTGTGGCGCTTCATATTGTCTGACCCCGTAGCGCACGCGGAAGAAAGGCGCAGATGGGCTGATAGATTGAAGTATTTCCTGGTAAAATGCTAGCAAAATGACAGTCAAAGGGCAATCAAATAGTACTAGAACCGTGTTACCACAACCATCAGACTATCGAGTAATTTTATATACATTATTCATACATGTATGTAATGTAGTATACACGGGATATGCAGATCGACAGTATGTCCCGTTTTATGATGGCTTCAACCGAAATTCGTCCTAGAATAAGCTTCCATATGTTTGCAGCTTGCAGCAAGAATTTATCAAGGTATTTGGATCTGCATACATCATTATATAAGTATTTGATTTCGCCTCTGGATAGTACTTACTAAGTTAAATTTAAATTGTTGCTTAGTAACAGTTGTAGGAGCTGTTGAGGAGATAGTGGTTGTAGCTATATTAGTAAATTGGCCATTTTTTTTTTCGTTTCTTGCTACCGGTCCATTGGTCTTATTCGCTTCCAGTTTGCCTGTTTTCACTCTCTGCAATCCGCCCACTGTGTCAGATAGCGACAGTAACTAATATCAGCAGCAGTATAAATAACTGCGTTGGTCAAGGGTTTTCAGTCACATAAGATTGATTTTCGGGCCAGTCAACCCAGCTATCATTATCACTCCACCCAGCCGCGCTTCCCTGTCAAGGGCAGCAACCGCGACCATATTAAGGGCAGACTCAAAAGAAATGAGACTTTTCAGTCGTTCAACCGTGGGACCATGCTGAGCCTGTTGGATAGTATGGAATATGAATAGCAACAACTGCAGTATCTAACAGCGTAAATGTGCCAGCGTTACATTGATTTCTGTACAAGTTGCCACTGTGGCGCTAAGAACGCCGTTCTCAGCGCAGCTAATTGCGTGAAGTCGCCCACTTATTTCACGCTGAGCGAGTAGGTATTGCCATCGTGATTAGTAGGCCAGTGAAGCATTTATTTCTCATTAAATCGTCTCTGATACTTCGCGTTGATTTTTTCCAGTACATATTAAATAATATAAGTCCCTCGTAGAACGCGGCATAATCAGTAAAGATAATTTTTGCTGGTGCCATTATTACCATCAGTTACTTCACCTTATGATATTTCACTCGATGTATAATATATATATATATGTGTGTGTGTGTGTGTGTGTGTATGTAGGCTACGCGGCCAACAATGACATCGAAAGTGCCGTAGGCTTATAGGTAATATAAAGTAGATGTGCAATAAACCGTTGATTTTACCTGTCTGATTAATCTGTTCCGTTTCATAACTACCGTCTTTATGTACGTCGCAACACCATTAGTAAAAAGTCATATTGCTACGATTCATTTTCTTCCTTCCGTGTTGCACTCCGCGGGCTTCCTGCCAGGCGAAACTTGACTTATGGGCTAAAGTAAAAGAGGTGGGGGGAGGTCTGAAGAACAACCGAACTGGGCTCGCCGTTCTGATCAGCTGAGCGCTGTTGCAACGTACATAAACAGGATAAAAGCAGTTTAGTCGCTGGCAGCATCAATAAAGTCGTGACAAACGCCGACGAATTATCATCCCCAGAATAATTCAATTGTGCTGCTTCTGTAATCGTTACTCGAATAGCGAGTAATCATAACGAGAGCACACAG